AAAAATAAATACATTAAATTTATCATTAATATTATAAATACTTGTAAAGCTTATAATAATGTCAAATATACAATTAATATAAAACATAACATATAAAACAGATCATGCAAGACTTTTAGAACATTATACTTTGTCAGATTCATCAAAAATAAAGCGTTCAAAGCGTGGTAATGATAATCCAGATAAAGGTTTCAATGTCAATGATTAGGCAGTATAGCCACGATTTTTTGTTGAACTGGTTTTTTGGATGGACTTTTTTTCTGCTCTTTCTTTTCTGCCTCTATTTCTGTCTAGAGCTCCAATAAAAAAAGCCACAACTGCCTTTTAAATTTCGCTGTGTGGTATCTTTTGTCAGCAAATTTCTTCGTATTGCTTCTATAAACATAAACACAGTCATATATCAAGTGTTTTTATGAACAAAATTATAAGAGTATAGCTAAATATAGCTGTTGTATAATATGTATATGTCTATATCTGTATCTCTCTCTTTGTTTATATATATATATATATATATATATATATATATATATATATATATATATATATATATATATATATATATATATATATATATATATATATTATATATATATATATATATATATATATACATATATATATATATATATATATATATATATATATATATATATATATATATATATATATATATACATAAACATATGGGCAGGATTAAAAAGTCTTTTTTTTTCGAAAGGAATGACCTTTTAAACTAAATTCGAAATTCGAAAAAAAAAAAAAAATCTTTAGAAAGGGGCAACAACACCTAACATGCTACCTATAAAGACTTATAAAGATATTGAATGTGGAGTAATAACGTTTTTGTTATAGCTATCAAAACTTGTGTTACGGAAGAACACAAGTTTTTAATGTCTATAACTAAAAATTTAGAACTCAACTAACAATGTCTTTTCTTAAAACTAAATAGATATTTATAGTTAATATGTTAGGTATTTTTACCCCCTTCTAAACCTTTTTAATTTTGTTTAAATTTACAATTTAGTTTATAAAGGCAATTCCTTTAGAAAAATACGACTTTTTTTTGTATCTCAAATCGAGCAGGTTTTGATTTTTTGAGGTTTTGAACAAATCAGCAATTTAAGGAATATGAGTTATTATATTTCTTTATATTATATATTTCAAAAGAAAAAAAATAATGGTAAAAACTCTTTTTTGGTGCTTCATGTAGTAGTTAACCTTTTAAACAATTGGTAACAATTTTTAACAATTGGTAAGAATAAAGAAAGTATTTTTGAAAGTGCAAAAGTGTCCAATTATTCAAAAATACGTATGTATGTATGTATGTATGTATGTATGTATGTATGTATGTATGTATGTATGTATGTATGTATGTATGTATGTATGTATGTATGTATGTATGTATGTATGTATGTATGTATGTTTGTATGTTTGTATGTATGTATAAACACACATACAAACACACATATATAAATTTAATAAATGACAATAAAGTAAAGAATATAATGAAAGACAATTTTAAATATTTATATTTGTTTCTTATTATATTTATTAACTTACTTTCAATAACTTTACAAAATTTAAGAATTTAGAAAGACTATTTTTAAAGATCACCTTGCCCTGTCCAACTCAATTTTTTTGCTCCTTTCCTTTTTGGGAACTCCCTTCACTTAAAAAAAAATTGCTACCACTAGTAAAACAACTTGGTTCATTTTTTTTTATTAACATTAGTTATAATTTATAAAATGTTTTGCAATAGGCTACAAATTAGTAGCCAAAATACCTTAATCACAGAGGTAATTATGATCACTTTTTCCAATCTTGTTTTACTTTTGTTTAATACAGAGACAGGTGTCTGCAGGCATGACTTTTTTAATTCTTGATGTTCATTAAAATCTTGTGAGTCACTATCATAATTTTCATCAGGTTACTTCTGTATTCTAAACACATAAGTCTAGTGTTAAAATATAGAAATTTTTATGGTACATTATAAACACCTTAAAGTATATATATAAAAGTATAAGATAAGAAATATTGAGGTTAATATCCAGAGCAGTGGTGTTAGAAGGTTCATTATCTGAAGTGTCCAACCCATGTTTTTTGCAATTGCTTTGAACGACTGTTTTGGGCAAAGCGTCAATAGGCTGAGGAAAATAAAACCTAGTTTTATTTATCTAACCATAGTTATAGGCTCCATCAATAACCATTTCCCCTTGATTTATTTCGGATAAATAAATAAATAAAAGTTAAAATAAAATAATTTGAACTTCTCGAATTTTTTTTCTTTCAATTCAATAGCTTAAAACTAAAACCTAGGTTACTAAATATACTGGATGTTATAAAATGAAAATTATATACTTAAATGAAAACATAAATATATTTTTCTCTCTTAAAAATTGCATATACATTAAAAACAATTTGCGCCATGCATTTTTGTACCTTTGGCGAGCCATTAATCATACGCTTATGGGAGCTTATTCACAACTCTTTTGTATGTCATAAATTTGCGTAATTTTAAGCGTAAGTTCACTCTAGAGCAAACCATCCATTATATAAAATGATAATATGACTACATAGATATAGAATGATAATATAGATATTATATAGATATGAGAGCTCTTATAACCTGGCTAAAAAGGGAGAACGACCATAGTAATACTATGGTCGCTCTCCCTGTTTTAGTTTTTATAATATATAGTTTTATTATGTTCTATATGTATACAATTAAAGTAATTATATAATTTAGTATATATGTTTTTGTTTGTATATAATATAATTGTGTTATAATACAACCTTAAGGTATTATAGTATGAATATATCCTATAGTTTTGTAGTTGATAGTAAATAGTTATTGAGATAACTTAATGATATATATGAGAGTTATAAAGATAACTTAATGATTCTTTATGATATATCCATATTAGTATGAATATATCATATAGATTTGTAATAAGACAATAACTTAGTAAATAAGTTAAGTTACCGTAATAGCTATTTATTGTCATACTACAAAACTATATGATATATCCATACTATATTAACTTATGGTTGTATTATAATACAACTATATTATATACAATACTATACAAATACTATATAAAAAACTATATACAACAATATTATTAAAGTATATACTTTATACTCTTGTCTCTCTCTCTATTACTATATTACTCTCTATTACTATTTTACTATAATCTCTCTATTACCTCTAAATATTCTCTAAATATTACCTCTCTCTCAGAAAGAGAGAGATAGTATTTGTGCTAATACAGATGCAATATTATTTAAGCATTTTATTATATAAACAGAGTAAATGGGGTTTAATGCCCCATAGGGCTTAATACCCCGCTTTACCCTACATATAATAATAATGTACATTATTCATCAAAGTTCAATCCGATTCAAAATGGCACTCACAAGTTGATTCAGCAACTAGCAAAGCAAACAGAATGTTAGCTTTAAATATTTAGATGTAAACATGGTAAAAATGCTCTATACAACGTTCAAACGTCCACATCTTGAGTTTGCGGTCCAGGCATGGTCTCCATTTTTAAAACAAGACATTGACAAGATTGAGAAAATCCAAAAAAGAGCAACCAAACTAGCACCTACAATTAGGAAATTATCATATGAGGCTAGGTTGAATATTATGCAATTAACTTCACTGGAAGAACGTAGACTACGTGGAGATCTGAATCAACAATATAAAATTCAGCATGGCCACGATAAAATAAATTGGGTTGCTAACGATTGTGGAAAATGCATTGGAGGAGGGTCCATGTCTGCGACAGCACAAACTCAAAATGAGGAAGCCTTTTAGCAGAAATACCTTCAGGTATCATTTTTTCCAAAATCGAGTTGTAAATGCGTGGAACAGCTTACCATCTGAAATAATAGAAGCTACTTCAATAAATAACTTCAAAAACAAACTAGACAGAGCTGGATTTTGCAGAAACTATTTGTTAAAACACAAACAAAAGACAAAATGAGCTGTTACAGTGCAATATGTTATGTTATTGCACTTCGCAACTGTTTGAAACAGTTGTTACAGTTATACCTTATTATTAAAGTCTTTTAGTAATAATATATATTGCTAATATATGTTCATATATTAAATTTAATATACGCATATATTTTGTTACTATATGTTACTTATACATATACACAGGGCCGGTGCGAGTAGGCGTCACGCGGGGGTGGGGGGGGGTGGTGGGGATGCCATTACAACTTTTGCTGACTTCCAAAAAAAAACAGGTCCTTGTTTTCGAAAGTTTGCCGACTACCATGACGACATTTGCCGACTGTCTACTGCCTAGATTACCGACTAACTTATATCGAAAGGGTCAACATTTGCCGACTAACTAGTCTAAAAGGGTCCGACTAAGGGTCCAATTTGCCGATTTAAAATCATTGATAAGGGAAGAGGTGTCACACCCCCCGTACCCCCTATAGCACCGGCCTTGCATACACACATATTAAATATATGTGTATGTGTAAGGAACATCATTATTACTTATACATTGTTACACACACATTTTATTATAATAAAATATTTGTATATTAAATTTAATATATGTACATATATTAGTTATATCAACAATGTGTTTATCAATAACGTGTTATATTGTTAACGTTACTAGATACGAAAACAATACAGAATTTTCTAAAGAAATATGGAAACATAAAAATGCAGATATTATGCCGTTAATCCAGTGGAACATAAATAAAAAGTGTCAATCATATAATCCATCAACTAAAAGATGTAAGCCTTGTCTATATGAAAAATATTTAACTATGACTTATGATCAAAGATCATTACTTAATAAAAAAGTGAGTTGGTTTCTTCTTGCAGGCATAGAAAAAAAGTTCTGCTATTTATACTATGGCTAGAAGTTATTAGTTTAGATAGAAAAAAAATTGTAAGGATATTATAACGGAGGTGGAGAGTGATGAAAAAAGTAACGGAGAAATTAACTCCTTTGAATTTTTTGAAATAAAATTTAAACGCACTTTGATAAGAAAACGCGTAAAACTCGTTTATTGAGTGAAGTCTTTTGCATTTTTATCACTCAACAGCCTGGTAACGTTAGAATATTTCATTTGGATTCCTATTCTTATTTTATTTAGAATAAAAACCACAAATACGATTTGATTTAAAATATAGCAATTTTCAACTGATACAGCTTTGTCAAAATATCATATTTTAATATGTAAAAAAGCTGTTTCGTCGTAAACAAAATGGCAAGTCATTGAAATGCATAAAATGAAAATAAGCAATAGAAAATTTGGCAGACGCCTATATATTTCTGAATTCAGCGTTCGTTCAACAACAAAAAATTATTTATCAACTGGTAGTGTCAATGATAAACCTCGTACTGGGCGTCCGAAAAAACTGACAGCACGCGATGAAAACATGTTTTACATGCTAAGCAGACGTAAACCAAAAGCGGGAGTATCAACTTTAAGTGCAGAAATCAATAGTTCGTTGGTAGACAAAACAGTTAGTCGAATGACTATATGTAAGTTATTACGCAAGAAAAAATTAAATTCGTTTCATTGTGTAAGAAAGCGATTGTTGACGTTAACCGATCGCCAAAGACGAAAAAAATGATGCATAGAGCGTTTAAATTATTCAGTAGAACAATCGAAAATGATTATCTTTAGTGATGAGTCAAATTTCGAAATTATTAACAGAAAAAACAAGAGATTTGTTCGTCGCAAAAATACAGAAAAAGATTTGAAGCAATACCTATTTAGCCATATTCAAAAAGGCGGTGGTTCCGTCGGCATATGGGGATGTATATCAGGCTCAGGCGTTGGCTGTCATAAAAGGAAGATTAAACCAGTATGAGTATCGTGACATTTTGGAAAACGCGCTTATCCCTAGTCGCGATTTGTTCCATGCTGATCAAAACTTATTTCAACAAGACAATGCTCCATGCCATACAGCGCATTCAATCACTGAATATTTCCTTAAAAGTAATATTCAACTTATGCCTTGGCCAGCACGATCACCAGACTTAAACTTAATTGAAAATTTATGGAGCTGGATGGATTATCAACTAACAAAAAAGCAAATAACTAGTCACGAAATGCTCAAACAAGAACTGACCAAACTGTGGCTTGAAATACCAATCAAGATGATTGAAAACTTAATCGAATCAATGCGTAGGCGAATACAAGCATGTATTAAAAACAACAGGGGTCTTATTCCGTATTAATATATTTCGATTAAAAGGAGTTGTATGTGCGTTTAAATTTTATTGCACTTTCTTTTAAGTAATCTTTTGATTACTTGAGTTTGTTGTTTAATTTCAGAAAAGATTTTGTGTTTTTCTTATTCAAAGTTGTGTTTTTTTCTTAATTAATAATCGACTAAGAATATTAAAAAAAATAAAACCTGGACCCTGCCTCATGTTTTCTCTTTGTATCACTTTAAACATACCTTAACTTTAAAAAAATACATATATATTAGTAATATTCATAACAGTTTAAACAAATTTTTATATTGAAAAAAAGTTGAAGCAATCACCAGAAAAATATCATAAATATAGAACATATTTATCTGAAGTTTAAAAAAAAAATTATTAAAATCCTACAGTCAGATTTTAAGAAAATTGATTTCAAATAAATAAACAAATCTATGAGTTACACTAAAAAATTGTTAATTGAAAATAAAGTTTAAGTACTCTTAGACATTTTTTATTGTTTTTTTATATATATTTTTGTGAAAATTTTGTAATAATATACCCCAGTAAGCACAAAGACGTTTAAAAGACGTTTTAAAGATGTCTTTAAGGAGGTCTAAAAAGCGCACTTGTAGACGTCTAGATCATAAGGCTAAAAGACGTCCAATTAAAGACGTCTTTATAAAAACGCGTTTTAGACGTATTTTAGACGTTTATTTTAAGATAAATTTAAGTACATGACGTAACATTTTCGCGTAGTATGTGGTATATATTCATTGTGTTTATACGTCATATATTGTTATAATTTTGTATATACAAAATATACATAGGAACCAGCAATCTAAATAATATATATAGCTATCACCACCAACGGTTGATGCTGCAAAGATGAAAATATTAAATAACAATAACAATTAAATATCAAAACAGTATTTAATCATTTATAACTTACCTTAAGTTATTATAAAATTTAACTTACATATCGCCAGCTAAATTTTGACCGCATACTTGACTTATTATATGGCTTGTGGGTGTATAAAAACAAAAAATACTGATATTTATTTTATATATTATTCTTGCCATTTTCACTTATTATCATGATCAATCAATTATCTATTAAAAAAGCAAAATAATTATTAATAAAAAAAAGATATATTAATATTATAGCAATTATTTTAGAGATTCCTGTGACAACAATTTTAGCAATTGTGTAAAAAAGTAATTTAATTTAAAGTAATTTACACTTAAAATTTGAACAAATTATTGAAAATAATAAAAACTATGTTTTTACTTTGAATATACGACATCTACT